AACGTTTCAACACAATAGAGAATTAACCATGAGCGTAACATGCATACAACCGCTTTGTACTCTCTTCTGAATCCATTAATTACGTGTGGTGTGTGACATATCAATGGCAGATATGTCTAAACATATGCCTACAACACATACAATATGTTAGCTATTCTGAATTAATTGAACTATAATTAAATTTAAATAATGTCAAGTATCATGAACATTTTTTTTATAAGCTGCAACAAAACACAACCTTAATAGTAGCCCATGCGCAATTTCAAATTGTGATCCATTGTTTTGTAAAACTAATATCAACTGTTTTATACTACATCCTATAATTCATAATTTACACAGATTTTTTTTCAGTCCCAAAACTTGTTTCTACTTGAATTTTGTTTTGCTGAAAATTGCTGGAGGTTTCCCCAATGGAAAAAGCAGAGCATTTTAAAACAAATTTAAACACTCTGTGAAAATACAGGGTGCTTCAAATAAATGTTGACACTTCCGAGAATGTGCAACAAAACCACGAGAAATGTGCCTCCAGGCTCTGGAGACCATCTGGAGAAGATTCCAGACACGTGCGTTAACAATGATGACTTTTTTGAAGCTATTAACATGCATTTGTTATCATCCACAATAGATTTAAATGTTGATTTAAAGCTTTCGTGACTGCAGGGATTCATATTCTTGGTTCTTTCGGTAACGTCACATAGAAGGGAAACAATAAAATAATAAAAATATAAAACGATAAGATTCTCACAACGTTTCGACTGCAACACAAGCAATCATCATCACCTGATGATTATTGCAATAATCATGATTATTGCAATAATCATCACCTGATGATGATTGCTTGTGTTGCAGTCGAAACGTCGTGATAATTTTATTGTTTTATATTTTTATTATTTTATTGTTTCCCTTCTACGTGACTTTACCGATAGAACCAAGAATATCCACAATAGAGGTTTTTTTTTGGGTTAGATCACGTAAATATATACATTTATTATCATGTTACAGTGTATTATCGGTTCTTTTTCCATTAAAAACGCTAGTCCCATATAGGTGTTAACATTTTTTTAAGCACCCTGTATATCCCATAATTATACTCAAAAAGAGTCAGTGAAATACAATCTTCAAAATGAGATACTAAAGGTGTCATCGTGACCTCATGTTAGATTTATTGAAAAGTCACATCTCTATTCAATACTTTAATTAGACGCAGAAAACAGCATTCCTGATCCTGTAGAAAATATTAAAACTAAAGGATATATACGACATGCTTATTGGAGAGCATTCCTACATTGGTTAATGGAAAGCAGGTGATCTCAGTTTTAATCCTAGTCAAAGATAAAATCAATGGAGTGCGAAATCCAAAAGCAAGCTTGTGTCCTCCCATTCGCCAACACTGCCTTGACCGGTGTGGTGAAGTATGGTCACACAACACGCATGACCGAACAAGGCGTGAGGAGGCCTTCATCCAGCAGTATGTTGAAAAAGTGCCCTCAAATATTTGAAGCATTATTTATATTCCTGTAACCGTATTCCACATCTGCCCATCATTTGCTGAATCAAACCTGCCTATTTGTTCCATTCATACGATAAAACACAGACACACAAACACAAATATAATCACACACTATACACCTCTGATTAGCAACGTACATACAGATAAAGACAAAGATCCCACCGATAGAAAAAGAGACTGTTGGAGCAAGTGCTGTTAGCGAGTGCCTATGAAAGCTGACATGACACACGAGGCAGTGGTGTGGCCAGCACCATACAAGGTGGCCTTCGTCTCCCCGTACCATTAATTCATTTAAGGCCGAGTCAACCTACGGAAGGCCCACGACCGGTTCAAATATTCGTCTCAACCGTTAGCGGTGAGCGGGATTGAACTCTGGGTAACTGGGTCGAAGCGCAGTGCGCTAACCGCTGCCCTACCACTCCCCACACGCGCACACGCACGCATACACAAAGAACCCCGCCGGAAATCCGTTAACAGACTGTTTGCGTGCACCTATGAAGGCCAGCACAACATGCAAGGGATGTGTGGCCAGCACTATGCCCGGCCGCCTTTTTCCTCCCTAGTGGCAATATTTTCACACCGCACCAGGTACTCATTTGAGGCCAAGTTAACCTAGAGGATGCCCAGGACCGGTTCAGAAAACCATCACTGGTTCTTGATCGTGAGCGGGAATCGAACTCGGGTCATCGGGTTCGTAATGTAGTACGCTAACTACTGCGCCACTGCTCCACACACACGCACGCACACACGCGTATACGCAAAGACCATAACACACGCACATTTATTTTTTGCTTGGCGCTCAGCTCTAATTGTGTTTGCGTTGCGGTGGTTGTGCAGCGTCTCGAGACACCCTTTGTCATCTCGCCGCTATATTTACAAAAACGTAACACACTGTGTGTTGTATTGCATCGCCTTTGTCTGCAATTGACTCGGGGGGAGTTGTTGATCGATAGCGTGGGTCTAATGAGAGGAGAGAGATGGCCATAGGATCGCGCAGGGTGCATCACGCCTTTGAAGGACTCAAACTCGTTTCGTATGTTGATGCCATTGTTTCCGTGGACATGTTGAGATGATTGGCCCATGAAACAAGACTTCACTTCCCGTGAAGTCCACTTCATTTGTTGATTCATTTACGTCGACGAGTTCCAAAATAATTGCACTCAAAAGATAGTTGCGCCTTTTGAAAATGTTATGGCCCTCCGGACTTTAACATAATCCTGAACATGATCTGTGACCGGGTGGTCGTTGCTTGCCAAAGTACTCATTAAACATGTTAACGTTCAAATTTTGATTTAAAGCTTTCGTGACTGCAGTAATTCATATTCTTAGCTCTTTCGGTAAAGTCAAACCATGAAGAAGGACCCTCTTGAGGAGCCTTTCAAAACCATCACTTTACCCTACATTGCGGGGATCACAAAAGAGATCTCCAAAATCTTGAATAAACACAAGATCCAGGTCCGTTTCAACACATTACATAAAATCCGTGATCGGGTTCCATCTGTAAAAGATGTGATTCCGGACATACAGTACCCTGGTGTCTACAAACTAAGTTGCCTCTGTGGTAGTAGTTACATTGGAGAAACAAACGCCATGTCTCGGACCGCATTCGTGAACACAAAGCAGACCTTAAACACGGTAGGACCAACACCTCGGCCGTGGCAGATCATTGTTATAATTCAGTAGGCTCACATGACATTGACTTTTCCAAGACAGAGGTTCTTTGTAAGCCATCTGGCTACCATGAGAGATTCGTTCATGAGGCTATCCACATATACAAGCACAGAGACAATTTCAACCGAGAAGATGGATTCTGGCTTAGCAATCATTGGAAAGATTTGATAAACCATTTCAGGTCTTAATTGATTGTTCACGCTTACAGTGGCTTTCAGACAGCATACATTAATTTTTCGTCTCCCCCCTCCTCTTTTCAGAACATAGATGGACTAGTCCTTCTAAATAAGCTGCCAAATCGCTGCGCGTGGTGCTAACGTTTTTTTATAAATAAATAAATACACCGTCTAAAAATAACTAAATTAATGCGAACCGACACACCTGATGACGACCGTTTGTGTTATGATCGAAACGTCGTGATAATTTTTATTGTTTTACATATATTTTATTATTTTATTGTTTCCCTTCAACGTGACTTTACCGAAAGAGCTAAGAATATGTTAACGTTCATTGGAATATAAAGTCTCTGGCAACAGAGAATTAAATATCAATTAGCTATAATCAAGCCTTTCCTTATCGGAGTGAACAGGACAGTGAAACTGAATTAGCATAGCACGTAGGTTTTCACAGCCAATATGATTATGATTCATAGTTCGATATTTTTGATGAGGCCGTGCCATGCTCTGACTAAATCTGCGTTGTTGAAACCCGTCCGCACCCAAAACAGCCGAACAAATCTTATTCTCGCTGGTACATGCTTCTAACGTGCCAGATATTGCTGTTTCAGCTCACCGGTCATTTGAAAAACAATACGCAAGACCGAATTAAGCAATCATATTCGATGTAAGATTGAAATCTTGCTCAGCTGATGTTTGATGACGTGTCAAACGAAACGTCGTATGCAATTGTTCAATTTGATTGTGAGGATTGTTCTTCAACATACCGGTGAGCTGAAACAACAATAACTGGCGCATTAAAAATGCATGTTCGAGTGACACAATTCTATATTTTTTGGCTGCGCTGGGTGGTGGAGGGTCTTAACGACACACATTTTGGCCAGATAATTGTGATGCGGCCTTACCCAAAAACCTATCACGAATCGTGAGGTGCGTCTTGAGGTTGCCATTGGCAGGTGATCAATACGATTTCCGGAAAGCATGTAAAGGACACGCGGACACCCTGAATGACGCCAGAGACCTTGGCACTGGGCGTTGCCGTGGTTGTAAGGGGTCAGCGACCTCTGGACCTGCGATCCAGAGGTCACCGATTCACAATTCCGTCTTCCAGAGCGGCAGTTGAAACAATGGGGGCGGGGGGGGGAGGCGAGTTTCTTGAATCCCTTTCACATCGGTTCACCCAGAGGTATCGATGGATACGTCGATGGGCAGGTCGGCTGTGGACAAGTAGGCCAAAGTAACCTCGAGCAGTCCCCTCAAGAGTTGCCAAGAGTGGAGACCCTTCCGACCAGCAGTGGCATGAGCGAGGAATTTCACTTTCACCTTTAGAAAGTGTCTTGACTAGTACGAGGATATAAACATATGAATTTGAATATAAAAATACAGCGCTCGAGCTCATTTATGCACCGGCTGTCAGAGTGAAGATATTATGGATGGCTGGCTGAGCATTCTTTGAAGCTGCTTTTTTTTCCTTTCCACCGTGCATCTGTTAAAAGCCTAATTTATGACTTTTGAAGGTTCATTATTATGCGTGGACAGAGCAGCAATCAATACAGCGAATTAGATGTCATGCGCACAACAGTGTACAGTAATGGCAGTCCCATCAGTGGTGCAGACCTCGGGCTCAACGCGTATTAACGTACCATGTTCCAGTGAGGGTAGAGGAAATCCGTCCCCAGGTATTCAAAGTAGTGAGCGAAGCCTTCCTTGAGCCAGACGTCCTCCCACCACATCGGTGTAACAAGGTCACCGAACCACTGGAGAAATCAGACACCGGCCAATTTCAGCGCTCGATTCAGAAGGCAATACACACACACACACATAGTGCAAAAACCATAATTTGCTGTCCAAGCTAAACAAAGACAAGAATATTCCCCCACCCCCACCTGACCCCCCATATTCACGGAGGCTGTTGGGGCAAGCGCACTTAGTGAGCATCTCTTGAGGCCAGCACGGCGCACAAGGGGATGGCTGGCCAACACCAAGCCCGGCCGCCTTTGTGTCTTCAGTGCTGGTGTATTCGCACCCCACAATGTACTCATTTAAGACTGAGTCGGAGAGGAGGCCCAGAACCGGTTCCAACATTCACCACAGTTATCGGTCGTAAGCGGGAAACGAACTTGGGCGGCTGGGTTCGTGGGGAAGTTTGCTAACCACTGCGCCACGACTCGCCACGCTAAGCTAAACACACGTACGTATTCACGCACACTCTCCCTATCATTTACATGCAATGCAAGAAGCACGTGGTGCTCTGTGAATGGCGCAGGTAGCTATGAGGGATCAGCTGTCTGACCACAGAGTACGTCACCACAACTTATCTGCCGAGAGGTGTCATATTTTGGTGCGGCATTTAACACCGTTTGCAAACTTTCCAAGTCAACGTAAGGAGAATGAGAGAGGAAGAGTGAAGCAACACTTTGAATGATTGTTGGACTGCCATCAGGAAATGTTTGGCTTCTGGAAACTGGGTGAAACAAATGTTCTGAATAATAATGTATTTGTAATTAAAGTGTCTTCTTCTGTTGTCTCTCACATTCCCCCCCCCGCCTCCCACCAGCCCCACCCACCAACCCCCTTCTAGCCCAATGTCGTATTTTGTTTATTTTCATAAAGCATCTTGAGATACCGTTGCATTCAGACACAATACAAATATAAAATAATCATCTATGTTGTTGCTGTTGTTCGCGATTCAAATGCCCCTTGGGTAGCCCTGAGCCGGCGATGGAAATTTCACATGTATCAATGCCACAGCCGCGTTTGGCGTCACACAAAATAGCACCGAGTTTATTGACCCCTTGAGGGAAGATGGTGCTGGGTCAACCGCCAACCGTTACTTGAACCCACAATTTCTGAAATGTAAGCCAGGTGCTCTAACGATGGCCTCCGTGAGTATTAATCGTTTAATAGATGAAAATGGCTATTTTAATAATGAGCTATCGCTGTCCCCTCCTTGATTGATTGCAGATCTGCTCTATGGAAAGGGGAGTAGCGTGGCAATCATGGCTCGCTCTGCCTGCCTTCACGCCCCATATCTCTTGGACCGTTTTACCAATCTTGACGAAATTTAAGGGATGGCTCTGCGGTGCAATTTCTCTTGCAAGATTGATTTTCAGGTCAAGGGGTTAAGGTCACAATGCTTGCTGTACGTTGGCCTGTGCCCAGGATATATCGAGAACTCCTGGACCAAATGCGAGTGACAAATGCTGGGATGTCCTCGGCCCAAAGAGCTTCAGCTAGGATTTATATTTTCGTTTTTTAGGTAAAAATGTCAATGGTGGTCGACATCAGGATGCTAACAAAGACTGTCACGGGGAAGTGAAGCCGTTACTCTCAATTTAATCGCATTACTAACATCGCACGTGTGTGCTACACAGAAATAGAAAATTACGACCGATGCTCCAATTTTCTTTCTCAGTAACTTATTATTCAGCTGATATAATTCTTTAGATATGCTATTCGTGGGAATGTCGGGAACACTTGGCTATTTCTCAAGATAAAGCTCCATTGTTTCAAATGCGTTCGCGCCAACGCGTCGAGCCCAGCCAGAAATCGTAATGCTCAAAAGGATTCATCGGCATCACGTAACCGTGTGCAAACAGCGATTCTTTATTGCTGCATCATTGACGAAAACGTTGCCCACGCTTACCCATCCTTCAAAGTGCTGAACTGATGAAAGTATGAGGGTGCCAGGCATCTAGGCAGTATTGTGGATAGGTCAGCACATTCGAAAAACCCTCTCAGGGACCAGCCGGTTAGACGGAGTGTGACGCTCAGCGACAGTGAGCGGGGCCTCAGTGACGGTGCCTTGGGTGCTAAATCGAAAACTCACCTTTTTTCATCCCATCACATTGCTGGCAGTGTTTCGTGCACTGCATCAGTTCTGTGGACTTTGACGGCCGTTGTTGGTCCCTCTTTTGTGTGTGGATGGGGTTATCGATGTTCCGCTGCACGTGTTGTTCGAGGTAAATTTCCCAACCCCTGTCACTAGCCCTACGCCAGCCCCCTCCTTAACCACTCTCACGTGTCCTCCTTACTGTCACCATGGCTACATCAACATTTTTTTTTAAATAACCCCACTCTTTATTTCAACCGCCTTCATATAATTGTATAATTATTGGACTACGGTGCTATACACATCCATATCTAGCTAAGATTGTTCGTTACTGCTTTAAGATGTTGTTGAAGTGTTTAAGCGCTCGCTAAATGCAAACCCTTATCCTTAGTGCATCTTTGATGTTTTAAGAGACCGCGAGTTGAATTCAGCAGTTGGATTCAACTCCTGCAGACGTCCGCAGTGGTGCGTAGCAAAAGCTTGAGAGCTAAGAAACGCTCAACTCGCCGTCCGACCCGGAACCAGACGCTTGGGCTGAGTGTGGCTGCATATGACGCACGCGCAACACATGCGTTGCAATTGTCGGTATATTAAAGAACAAGGAACTAAGGCCAAAGGCACTGATGTAAAGCACTATACACAACTGAACTATTTTTCTTAATACAAACTAATTTAAAAGAATCCCGGACAACAGAATGTAATTTATGTCTGGCGTGCGCACTTTTCACACCCTAAAGGGACGTTTTTACAAATGTAACAAATTTGGATACACGCTGAATAATATCCGCCACTAAATAATTCAACCGGCATGCATTTTTAAGCACTTCTCGCAGTCAGTAATTCACATAATTCTATTTTGAACTGACTTTACTTAAAAAAAAAACTAAACTAAACGCATAGGCACAAGTCGTTAATGCAATTCCATGTCCGGGCTAGCATTCAGGCCGTCAGACAGAGTGAGAGAAAGATAGAAAACTTCACGTCAACTCGTATGGGTATCTCCTTGATAGAAATAAAGCCATTATATCTCCCCTTAACCCCACTTTCATCCCAAATCACCCAGTGCAGCACGCCAGCCCCGAGTCCCGTGATGGCGCTCGACAGAGCTGTCTCCTCGGCAGCAGAGGTGTGACTGCAGACAATAGTGGTGGAAGCTATAAAGCCTCCCTGCGCGAGGCCATGAGGACCATTATCCCCCTGTTGCTCTGCAGTCTGCAAAACACGGCGTATTCATAGTGCAACGGATATTTTAAAAAGGTACCCCATGAGAAGCTACGTGGCAATAACTTTGGTTGTCCGATCCTGAATTGACCATCTTGGAGCAGCTGTAGCGATAAGCTAATGAGGTTTAGAATTGCATGAAAAATGCCAGTGGGGAGATTTTTTTTGGGGGTTTGTTTAATGACAAAACAGCGCATTGATCCCACTTCCCTTAATGTATTATTGATTTGTTCATTTATTCATTTATTCAATTTTAAATCAAAGGGATTGAGCCGTGCTCAGCCTCGACTGCTTAAAGGGCTGTCATACGAAGTTTATCCCTGTTGATTGCGTGAACCAAAAATTGGGTGTTTGGGGAGGTTCATAGATCAACACTCAAATTACTCTCAATATCCACGGATCGTTCCACTGCAACATATCACCAAGCCGATTTGATAAAGGGCAGAGTTATGGACCTGGACGGCATTTTCACATCATGTTTGCTTTGTCAATAGTAAATTTGAGGCAATTTAGAAGGAACATTGAGGATAGCTATGAGGAGTTGGAAAGTTTGACTTGCAAGTGCCGTCTTTTTGTAAGCTTACTGGAAATATTAGGACTCTGGGGATGTTGCCGTGCTGTAAGGGTTGGCACACTGGACCTACAATACAGAGGCTGCCGGTTAAATATCCCACCGCAGCAGCAGCAGTTAAAATGAGGCCAAGTTTCTTAAATTCTTAAATTCCACTGCCCGTGTTCACTCAACATTACACATTTAAGTACCCTAGTTCGGCGACGGACTGGTCACGTTGTGGTTGGGGTCAAGTGTGGGTGGTCCCACCTCTTGCAAGACATCTGGCCAGGATGGAAAAGTATGCCAAAAAACCTGCGAGAGGGGCCTTGCAGAAGCTCTGTCTCACGGAGGCCCTGCCGCAAGCAGGGGAGGTCAGCGAGGAATTGCAAGGGGCTACTTTTACCGCTTTACCACTATACATCCATGTGGTTTTCATTTTTCCTGTCACTTCTTCAGAAGGTTTGCTGCAAAATAACAGGTCAACTAAAACGCCAGTCGGCTGAAATGTTGAGATCTTCCTTTGCCGGTTGACCTGTTATTACTTTTAGTTAACTTGTTTATGAAATGGAAAAAAAAAGCTTAACACACGCTTCAATAACACTGTGGCCTTAAAAGGAAAATATTTCATAGGCGATGTTTTGGGCACTAGCCCTTCTTCATGGCACGTCAAAATTGTATAAGATCACTGAAGCCAAAACTTTAAAAGATGATATAGTAAATATCATCCCTTAACTTTGCAAGGAATTGATGAAGGACACTGCTGATAAAGAGTCTGGAGACTGGAGTGAGGTCTGGAGTGAGGTTATCTTTGATAAAGAAAACTATTATAATGGTGCAGTGGTGAGTGCAGGGCGCTAATCACTATTGCAGTGCCATAGCGGTCAGCTCTCTGCACTAAAACCCAGTAAACGGAGTTCTATTCCCAGCCATAGTTAACCTCAGTAGCGAGTGACATCTGAACCAGTCTAGAGTCCATCATTGCCAGACTTGCTCTGACCACAATGGTGAAGTACGGTCAAACAACACCAATGACCAACGCGGTGTGGGGAGCCTATCCATTATTATTATTCTTATATTGGACGGAATTCTTATGAATAATAATAACATTGTTATTGAGTTTATTTAAATAAAATACTAAATACAGGATAGCATACGTTTACAAGATGCGGGCAACGGCATCTCTCTTCTATGAAGAAGGCCATTGCCTGCCACGTCACCTATTTTCTATACGTGTATTTATTTTTTGAGGGCACATGGCAGTGTTATTGATGAAAGCTTCGTTTTTTTTGGGTACCCTCGTGCACCAATGCCAATGCGAGCATCAAGCGTTTTTTGTTTCCATTCAGAATGTAGTTATACCTAATTGCTGAGCAATGGGGTATTCATCTTCGTGAATTGTAGTGTTGGGGTCTAGAGCTCAAGGCCATGGTCAGACGGGGAGACCCAAAGAGCAGAGGTGAGGGCCGTTTGTCTCCAGTTCCCCCTTGCTTTTTGCTGCAGCTGCTTAAAAAAGAAAAACTTCAGCGGAACAACGCGCCCGTAATGATTTAAAATGCCTTCTCTTGTTTGTCGTCAAGTCAATATAAAATGATTTTATATTGGACGGAACGATAAAAAATAAAAGAAATTGATATAAAATACCCTGGTCCACGCTCATGTCATGTTTATTGCGCACATCAAATGTTTGATGTGAAATGTGTTTTGGAGGAACATATTGACCGACTTCGGTGTTGTGTGGGAACAGACAAAAATGTACAAAGACACCCCCCCCCCCCCCCCCGTGCAGCCAACACAGCCTGTTGGGGCAAGTGCTGTTAGCGAGAAAAGGCCTGGCACGGCACACGAAGGGGTGGGTGGCCAGCACCATGCCGGGTCACATTTGTCTCCCCGGTATTGATGTTTACACATCGCACTAGTTCATTTGAGGCTCAGTCGAGCTAAGCCAGGCCCAGGACCGGTTCAGATATTCGCTACTGGTGTTGGCCATGGGCGGAAATGGAACTTGGGTCACTGGGTTCATAGCGCGACGCACTAGCCGCTGCACTACACGTGGGCACACACCATGCACGTTGTGTATCTAGTTCATAACTATCTTGAGTTTTAAATAAACGTATACAACTCACTGCCGAATAATGGAAAATATATACCATACCCTCCCTATTACAAGACGCAAAATCCAATAAGCGCGTGTATGTCAGAACATATTTGTGTAAGTGTTTATCAACACTCGGCACAAGTATGGGGGTGTGTCTATCTTTCCGGATCATCTCATAAATCAGAGAATACGGGAGTAGGCTGATGTTTCAGGCAATGTTCCTTCTTCAGATCGGAGAGGAACTTGGGTGTGTTTTATCGTTGTTGTGTTCTCGTTGTCATTGCACACAACAGCCAACATAGTTCCTCGTGAATATATATACGTGAATATTTTAGATCCTTTCAATAAAAAATATGTTTAGAAGACATTGCTTGTCTGCATCACGTAGCGTTCATCAACCGCTCCATCTGCAGGCAATTGTGATAAGGAGCGACTGAAAACACTTTGCATTGCATATTCAATGTACTGTATATGCCACACCTGACGTGAGCGTTTTGTAAAATTCAGAAGACAGCTCATCATCGCGTGGCTACGACTGAGATTTGAAACGCAAACGTTAATATTTCAGGCATGATAAGCTACCTTTATATATATAAAAAAGCCATCTCTGAACACGTAGCTCGAATATTGTTCAGAGTTTTTTTTTAATTTTCGCTATTCCTCAATTGGCTACGATAATTCTCCACGTACGATAAAGCCACTGCGGCGAGCAATCACGTGTGTGGCCAGGTCAGTGGACATTACCAGGCAAACAATATATAAAAACCGTACAACATAATTTAATACGATCTGAAATCAGGAAATAAATAGATAGCTAAGTTCCATAATTTCTCGCAAGAAAGCTGCGCATTAGGTAGCGTACAATATTCACGAGTGCCGTCATCAGCCATGATATATCCTCCTCGGGGTGAATGCCTATCAATGCCGATTCCATCTTTGCGTAATCGATCTTACTCCAGCGCGCTATGTGATCTCGTCACGTCGTCTCCCACGGTGGCCATCACCTTGGGTGTGTTTCTCTTCTTTCTCACACGATACGCCACTTCGTTGAGCTATCATTTGTGGCCAGGTCGCTCCCGAAAAAATAAGCGAAGAGCTCAGTGGGCCTTACCTGGTAAAATGAAAAAAAAAAATAGTTTTCAATTGTTTTGTGGTTTGCTCACCTTTCCTACACTTTCCACTCCGGTCGTGTTTTTGTACTGTTTGTTGTTGTAACGTTCTGACCCGCCCCCCAACTGGTTATCTGAGAAAAAGAGCTTGATAGCTCATCAGATCACGAGGCCTCCTTTGCAAGTACCAAAATATAGGAATAGGGGTTTCCCCCCTTTTTTTCTGGCAACAAAACTGAAATCTTTTTTTACAAGGAATCATGTCTGCATTAACCACAATACTTGTGGTCAGAAGGCAAACAAAAAAAAACATCTAATAATATATGCATTGTCCTTCAAACTGATTGGTCTACACCAGAGACAGCTTTTTTTAGACAGCTTTCTACAGAGACAGCTTTATTTAGAAAGCTGTCTCTGTAGAAAGCTGTCTCTGGCTTTCTTTAGAAAGCTGTCTCTGGTGTAGGTTTCAGTTTGGATGCCAGAAAAAAGGGGAAAAACGTATTCTTATAGCTCAGTATACACCAAGATAAACAAATGTTCTGATTCTGGTGATTTCCTCACTGAGTCTCATTGGCCATCTGTCCTCTCTCACGACAGGTCCTTGCCAAGCTCACTTTTATGAACGCTCACAGCGATGCCTCTAACGGACATTTCTCCTCCAATCCACGCGTTTCTCCTTCCGTCACTCGGTGCGAGTTCCATTTTCTTTTGTCGGTGTCCATGTTTCTGATCGACGTCATAAAGGAGGTCTCATAATGTAAATGCTTACCCCGAGCTCTCAATACTCTGATGGTGCGTTGTCTTTGAGTTGTGTGCCTTTTGGAGTCATCTGGTCCAACACCGCGTGAGACTGGGCTCTAAGAAAAGCTGTCTCGGGTGTGGACCAATCAATTTCAAGGACAGCGCCAATACATTATCAGAGTTGTCTCTTTTTGTTTGCATTTTGACCGCAAGTGTTGAGGTTAATGCAAACATGATCCCTTGTATAAAGGTGTCAGATCTGTTGCCAGTCAAAAGGGTAAAAACCTATTACTATATCTTAGTGCTGGCTTTGGAGGTCTCATAATGTAAAGGATTCCTCGAGTCTACATGAAGATTCTTATTTTGAAGTTGTTATTTTTTTCGTTCCCATACTTCGTTTTTGACGGTTTCCCTATTATTCCTGTATCGTGTGAATCACAAGTACCGATTCTCCATGTAACCGTGCTTGTGTAAATAACATCTACACTGTACAACATATGTACCGTCGTAGAACGCCCATGAAGTAAGAGTGGATAACCCCATTGGTTCCTTCCTGCTGAAATAAATAAAATCTCGATTTAAAGCTTTCATGACTGCAATGATTCATCTTCTTTGGTTCTTTCGGTAAAGTCGGTAAAGTCACGTAGAATGAGAATAAAATAATAAATTGATAAAATAAAATAACACAATAATATTCTCACTATTGTGAGAATATTATTCTCACTATTGTGAGAATATTATTCTCACTAAAATAAAATAACACAATAATATTCTCACTATTGTGAGAATATTATTGTGTTATTTTATTTTATCAATTTATTATTTTATTTTATTCTCATTCTACGTGACTTTACCGAAAGAACCAAAGAAGAAGATAAATAAAATCTATCTATTTATTTTGTCACCTTGATCACCACCAGCCTTGAATAGTCACCCTCGGCAGGCATATTCTCCCGCGTTCTCCAGCAGCATCCCTCGAGTAACGACGTGAACTTGTCCGACAAAACTCGCGGAACCACTCTCGTTTTGCACATATTCGCCTTGTGCCCGACTCCGCAGCCTCGCGGTGAACATAGGGTCGCGCGGCAAAAACGCGAGGCCCGTGAGTGTTCTCCCGTCGTCCACGTTCACGGGCCCTCGTTTCGCCGATCCAATTTTCAGGAAACGTGCTCTCACGTCGCCGTCAATTTAGTGGAGGTCGCCGCCGAGCGCCGGCGGAGGGTTGCGGAGCGTCGAGCGCCGGCGGTGGCAGGCTTCAGCGAAGAGCTCGCCCCCAACGACGCCCCGATCTTGGCGGTAAAAACAAATGGCTCCGGTGAGAAAGCTCGGAGAGCGACGAGTGCCTCCCTACAGCCGCACCGCGACCAGGGGCACGCGCGCGGGAGCGACCACGGGAAACCACTTGAGCTGTGCAGTTTTAAATCTTGACTGAAAACGGATTTCTTGAGTACTTGCTTTTTCTGTTTGGTTTGTTGTCCTTCTTCCGCACCCCCCCCCCCCCCCCCCCGATTAGCACGGTTGGCTACATAGAGTGTGAAAGAAGTTCAAAGTACATACGTACAACTACTAGAGCAACACGAGAACCAGTTCACCACGCCATGTTAACAGCCACAACACCAGCGGCTACAACTCGGAGAAAGGAATTGACGTTAGTTGCTGAATTTGTAATCGTCGTCATCGTAAATAACCATAAATAACCAAAATTATTGTCACTTTTAGAGTCTTACAAACCATTGTGTAAGCTTTCTCAAATACATTACACACAATGGCCTACTTTTCCAAAGCAATCCCTTTGAAAGATTCATATTAACTCCCCCCCCCCCCTCAAAGGGGTAGATGCCAGGCTTGATGGTTACATATCCAGAGTGCAATGTCAGGCGATGTGTATACGTATTGAGCATGGCCTGAAACCACCAATGAGCCCTTAACGCACGGGCAAGTCGTGCGCTGTAAACGCAGCCGCCCAGCAGCCTCATCAGGAAGGCTAATTTGGAAACCAAAAGCCCAAGTGGCTCCTTGAACGAGTGAGCACTGGGTGGGGCTCGTCTCCAATTTGCAGAGCGGCGTTGCGATTCGGTGGTGAGAAATGCCACGGTCACATGGCGGGGGACAAGACGACCAACTGTCAATTTGTGGACGCGGTTTGATTTTCTTTTTTTTTACCAGGATTTGACCCCGTGGTGTAACGCCTACCTGGTGGCAGATTTCATGAGCAATGACCATCGTCGCTTCCAGCCAGTAGTGGGTCGAGGAGATGCCAGGATCCAGCAGAATCTTCTGCTCCACGAACACATTCAGGCCCCAGTTTTCCATCGCCGCATACGGGTGTTTGGGCACTGCCAGTAGATCTTGGGGTGGAAAACACAGACACACAAACAAAACAACTTTGTGAGACGTTGGAAACACCAAAGGTGGGAGAGATCACTCCTCGCCTTGGTGTTAGATCTGACACACACACACACATAGCTTTAGCTCCTGGGCTCTAACCAGCGATACATTCCAAAGCCATGAATTTAATACCGCGAGGTGTACATGAGAATTAACGCGTCAGTTCCCACACGGTATTTACCCACAGTCCAGCAAGTTAGCAATATAAGTCTTGTCCTCACAGCACAGCTAACAGACTCACTGCAAATGCCACCTGCATACGCTGTAAAGTTGCAAAAGAACACAATATCAATACCAGTACTATTATTTTTTTGCGATATTTTCAATTAACAGCTTAGGAGAGATGGTCAGACATGCGGTAGAACAGCACAATTTTTGTGCGCATCAACATCATCAACATCATCAGTCAAGATATAAAACCACTGCTGGATGAGTCCCTTCCCAATCTATCACCTTCTATCGTGGCCTTGCGACGAAAACGATCCATTTAACAGATGCACACGAGCCGGTTTCATCGCTCCATCTCCACAGCGGTTGTATTCTCGGGCGGAGGGCACCATGGTGGCGAGATGTTAACTACCTCGCCTGGTATACAGGAGGCATGGGTTCGATCCCGATCCCAACCCCAACGATGCCTGTATATTTGGAGTTTGCATGTTCTCCGTGTGGTTACGTGGATTTATCTCCGGGCTCTGCGGTTTTTCCCTCCACATTTAGAGACAAGCTTTTAGAGCATTTGACTGTGTAAACATTTCCACATGATAAGCCACTTCGTTTATGGCTATCATTTGCGGCCAGGTCGCTTCTGAAAAGATCGATATAGTTCAGTGGGCCTTACCTGGTAAAATATCTAAGTTTTTTTTAAATATATATAGTTTAGTTTAATATGCCCTCCTTTGGCTGCCACTCCATCGTTAGCCCTGACGTCTGGACCGGTTGGCTACATATGGTGCGAAAGAAGTTCAACATACATACATCGTCCCCTTCTGTTGTCGTGTGACGTGCCTTCCCCCCAAAACCTACTCGCTTTTCTTAACAGTCGATAACGTCGACAAAAATTCACATTTCTGCGCTGTCTAAATAAGACCAGAGCGACGTACGCCATACTTAGTCGGGGGGACGCGGGAGAAAAGAAAGGGTGATGATCGGGGGGGGGGGGAGGGGGGAGAGGGCGTGATGCAAGAGGACGTCATCCAAAGACAAGAGACTACAGGAAAGGTCTTGAACCTTTCCTTTAAGGACGAAGGCAGCGGGGGGGGGGGGGCGGAGCATAAAGCCAGTCGTACAAAAATACCAAACAGAGGCAGCCTCTTGACAGAAGGGGCCGGGAAAGAGTAACCTCTCTGCGAGTTGAGGTTCACTTGAATGCCTTTGCTGCTGAAGGGGAGAGTATAAGTGAGAAAGATGAGATAAGAGGGGGAAAGTTAGGCGAGATGATATTTTCAATGTCGTCGGTACAGAGCAGTGACCATTTTCGGGCCTTGCAATTTAACCCTTTGGTTCCCACCAATGTGGGATTATCAGATTCCCCAAAGGATATGATTGCATCGTGATATTTCCCTGTTTATACGCCAAGCCTTGCCAAGCCAAAGGGATGAGTTTTAGTAAAAATCAAATGGTGATATCTGCCCAATTATATTTTTACAAATATTTGTTTCTAATGGGAGAAAGCAGGAGTTAATTTAGCAATTCCAAGCATACACGGGAATACGACTCAAACTCCCCAAACAGATCAACAATCTATTTGTTGAACTGCCTCTGCAAATTGCCCCAGGTTTGCGATTCAAGTCAAGAATCAATGCTCTCCTTAACTTTGTGGTGAATGTAGTGGCCTCTAGCAGCTGTATTATATACAACGTACATGCATTGAAAAGCATTTTATTCAACACGCAATTTTAAACATACATCGTTGATCTTAAGAATCGAATTAATCGATGCCTTGATACACTCCTATTTGGGGCCCTTGAGTTGAGTGACTGGCAATTGATCTCGGCATAATCCACATACTCCTCTAGCAAGACAACCAAAAATAACCCTTCACTGCTATCACACCGGGCACCCGTGATATTACATGCCATTTGATTCTGCGCCGAACAAAAAAAATCTGCGATCATGTGACCAAACTATGATCCATGTGGACAGCAAAGCTTACGTGACCATGGGGATCGGCTGGTGTGCAGGAGCTGGGCGGATTTGCGGTCGCAAGCCCACGGGGGATGGAGATGGCAAGCAGGAGGCCTTCAGCCATTATAAGGTCTCACTAATTGCACGTAAAAGTTCTTGCCACAAATGAACCACAATATCTTGATGATCTCGTCAAAGGACTATAAACCATCACGCGAATTCCGGGCAGCCTCACAGCAGCGTTTGGCTAACCATCGAACAAAGACGGTCACTGAATCGCGAGCTTTCAGATGTGCTTCTGCGGCCGTCTGGAACGCTCTCCCTTCAGATATTAGGAAGTCACTGGAGCTATGCAACTTTTAAATCATCTAGATTGAAATCTCGTTTCTTTCGAATCCCTTTTTGGTGTTTAGTTTGTTGTCCTTCCCCCGCACAACTCTGATTAGCACAGCTGGATACGTACGGTGCGAAAGAAGTTCAACATACAGTACATTCAGGAGTGGATAGATTTAAGGCTGATGGTGATGGTGTGATGGGAACCACGAAGCTTGTCGGTGGAGGAGTTGTGAGAGGCCCCCCCGGCCCATAACTGAAGCTGCTGCAGGGATAACATGCTGAGAGCAACTTCATCCCCGGTTCGTTTAATCCCCTTGCACGTGGCACATTGGTGGCAAGGAGCATGGAGGCTTAGGCTGCGGCACAAGTGAAAAGCATTAACCCCTTCACCCACGAATTTATGACTGCCGAGATAACACTGGGAGATGCTGAAGCAGTTTCTCACGAGCTTAGTTGGCAGGAGGCGCCGTAATCAGATGATATAAAATGCTGGGCCTCGCACTACTCTGGGCCGAGATGAAAAATTCTGGGTTAAAAAAAAAAAAATCCTCTCATTTTGTTCGCTCCGAATGAATTTTGTGAAATTGTCCGGATAAATGTTAGTCCAGGTGATTTATGGAGGGTTTGTGGTTCTATTGATGAGTCAAAGTACATTTTGATTCACCCTAACCTGGCAGAAAATTATCACATTGGAACGCCTCAGGTCACAGCTAGTTTACCCAAACAACATTCCCCTGCCCCCTTGTACACGCTGACTCTTTGCATAGCAACTGTATACAAGTGAATAGTTCCGTACTAAATTATCCAACGATGATTCTATTGAAATTACAAGTTTTCCGATTACAATTACAGTAACTGACAGTCGCAAATAACTGTATACGGTGCTACTATCCCTACAAAAACTACAATAATTTATAGCTCTGACTGAATAGTTTCATTGCTGAAGAGGCTCCCAGTACTGAAGCGAAACGTCGGACGTTATGTTGGAGAACAACACGCGGTGCAACCCTACAACACATCGGAGAGCTACACAGCACAACCACGAAAACGTATTCATATTACATATAATTATAAATATATTAAGATTCTAATTTAACGTATTTAAAAGCTCGTAACATTTTTTGTATATTTGCAAGCGTGTACTCCAACAAAAGTGAGAGGACACTAAGGTTATTTGACCTTAAGACCTTTGAAAATTTAAACACGTGTACGGAAATAACGAATTTCAGTAATTACGATAGACTGCTTTGCTCATCAATCCGGTGACTTGCACAAGGTCTTCGATAACTCTTTGGCTTCCACTATCGCCGACTGTCCCGTCGTGGAAGCCTCTTGCCACCAATAGAATCAGGGTCATAAACGGCACGACCAGCACCTCCATTTGTTACATGTTCAGTGAGCGTAGCGCAAAAAATAACCGTTAACAGAATTAATTATGAATACATTGCATCACATGCAATATTGCAATTATGCATCCTATTATTTTTGCATGCGCAGTTTTTTATTGGCAGGTCAATAGATACTCGGCATAAAACGACGGACCATTGCCCCCCCGCCATCTCCCCCCTCACCCACCCCGCTACGACCCATCCCCACCGAAGCCCCAGCAATTCAATGAATTGTTATGAATTGGGGTTGCAATTCAAATGAAGAATCAACTCTTGGTTGCCCCCTGATTTTCACCGTCCAGATTGCTTTGCTTCTGATTGCCTCCCTTCTCCTTCATACGGCCTCCTTCGCTTCATCAGCTTCGACGTAACATCGGCATTAACATTCGCGTATGGTTTGCACAAGTCGTAAATAATAAATTATTTAGATGTGCACGATCCCATGCGCGCGTTACAAGCGCGAGTACTGATTAATAGTTGCATCATTACACGCCCAGATGAGCACGTGCCGCCCGCTCTTCTGTCAATCCTCTGCTGGATGAGGGCCTTCTTCACACCATGCAAGTCACGAGGGTCCCGAGACCACACTTCACCACGCGAGTCAACGCATGCCGGTGAAGGCAAAGGAGCCGACAGCATTGGCGCAGAGTAAAGTGGCTGCCCTCTGCTGCCCACACTGGAGCCCGGCAGCAGCCTATGGCATCTGCTATGCGGGTGGTTACAGAGACTGTATGGGCGACCACACTCTGAATATTACGGCATAAATGCACGCGCAAAATGGAGACTTCACGCAGGGAGCAGCCCCCCCCTGCGTTTGCTCCGCAAGGGTCGCGCAGGTCAGCAGCCTAAATCTGTTTGCAGCGGGGAGTAAAGACTTTGCGGTATTGAGATGCAGTCCATGTGCCTTGCAACGCATTCAGGACCAAGCACACAACCGCAAAGCCCAGCCTGAATGTACAATCGGGAGCTGCCTGATGAATCCTGCGGAGCCAGAGATTGCCTTTTGGCGTTTGCTCTTTGATTTGCAATGTTTCAAACCGAACAAAGGAAAGTCTTATATTGAGGCAATCAACACCCTTGCAAGGAGAGGAGTTCGAAGGCACTGCGGAAAG